AAGAGGGTACGCCGTGTCAGGTCGAGTGCAAGTCATCAGGTACATGAGGCAGCCCACTAGCTCTGCGTAAAGAGCACTCGACTCTACGGACTCGTCCGAAGGTGGAGCTGAGAGCGAGTGACCTGTAGCTAGAGGAGTGGACTGTGGGGAGGACCAGGTGAAGCCAAAGCGCTGAAGGACCTGCTGCACCATGTGTGACTGAGTCAGTGTGATGGTGCGGCGTGCTCTGTCCCGGGTGATCTGCAAGCCAAGGTAACTGCGCAGCTCACCCAGGTCAGTGCACGTGTGTCTCTTCTGCAGCTACGACTTCACCAGAGGGAGAGCCTCAGTGTCAGCAGTAGCAAAAACCAAGTCGTCGACGTACACGAGGATGTAGAATGGCGGCAGCGAAGTGTCGGTGCGTAGAAACAGCGACGGGTCAGCAGTCGAAGGAGCGAACCCAAGAGCCGCAAGTGTAGTCCTCAGTGTGTCGTGCCATTACTGAGGCGCCTGGCGGAGACCGTAGACTGGCCGGCGGAGACCGTAGACTGGCCGCCAGAGGCTCCACTGGGTACCAGGAGGGAACGACCCAGTGAAGCCAGGTGGGCGGCACAGCCAGATCTCCTCGTGCAGGCTACCCTGTAAGAAGGCTATTCTGAAGTCAAGAAAGTGAAGCTCGTAGTCACGCTGAGCGGCAACATGCAGCAGCACCCGAAGAGTGGTCATCTTCGGGGTAGGTGCGAAGGTCTGAAAGAAGTCAACTCTCTCACCCTGACTGAAGCCTCTAGCAACTTAACAAGCCTTGAAGACAGGCGGAAAACCTGTGAGGATCTAGGATCGAGCTCAGAAAAGATGATTGTGAATTGAATGATCACCTGGGTACAACACGAGGCTATATATAGGCTCGACACAAGGCAGGTAACCCAGGTGTTACGCGAATGTTCTGAGGGTCGCGAAGCGTCCCGAACAGAACCTTCCCAAACGCGGTGGAAAGCAATTCGGTGGCAACCGAATAGCTTGAGTTCGGTACACGTAACCTGGTTCGGTGCCTATAACTATAATAACTATAGTAAAGCAACGAACCAATGTAAGAATTCAAGCAATTCATGCATGCAGAAAATAAACCTAAGCTAGAATGGCATAAGGAAATAAACCTAAGCTAGAATGGGTGGCTTAAGCCGACGTACTCTCACACGTCCCCCCCTCAAAGCTGGGTGGCGTGAGATACACCCTGCTTGACAAGATAGTCCTTGAGAGCATGGCGTGCGTTGCCCATATCAGCTTCTGCAACCCAACTGTCCTCAGTGGGGTCGTATCCCTTCCAGCGTATCAGGAACTCGAGGGTCTTGCCGCCGCGGCGCCGATGAGTGAGAACACGCTCGATCTCGTACTCTGGTTCATCCTGCACAAGAACAGGTGGTGGTGGCGGTAGCTGCCATCCCTGGAACTGTTGGTTGGGGTCTTTTTAGGGCTTAAGTAGATGAACATGGAAAGCGTTGTGAAGCTTCCACGTATCTGGTAAGCGCAAGCGGAATGTAACTGGTGTCACCTATGCCTCCACGAGAAAAGGACCACAGAAGCGAGGCCGGAGTTTGGATGGAAGGTGAGACAGGTTCAAGTTGCGCGTGTCAAGAAGCACCTGATCTCCGACTGCTACTGAGTGATCTCGTCGCTGACGATCGGCATACTGCTTCTGGGAGTTCTGCATCGTGGTGAGACGCCGTTGAATCTTTTCCCATAGCTGCTGCATGGTGGTGACGAAGTCGTGAGCGGCTTGGACGTGTGCCGGTGTGGTTAGCTAATGTGGAGTGAGTGGTTCCCGTCCGTAGCACAGGAAGAAAGGAGTTTTCCGTGTGGCCGCATGCGAGGTGTTGTTGTAAGCGAACTCTAAGGTCGGTAACTGTGTGTCCCAGTGGCTGATGTCGTCTTTGCAAGCTGTGCGCAGTAACTGTTCAACCACCTGATTGAGTCGCTCAGTCTGTCCGTCAGTCTGGGGATGGTATGCTGAAGACATCGCAAGCTTAGTCCCCAACAGTCCCATAAGCTCCTTCCAGAACTTACTCGTGAATTTTGGGTCTCTGTCTGAGATGAGTGTAGCGGGGATGCCGTGGATGGTGATGATGCGGTCGAAGAAGAGTCGAGCAGTTGCTTCAGCTGTAGCTGTGGCGTTGGTCAGCATAAAGTGACCCATTTTGGAGAACTTATCGATTACTACGAGGATGGAGTCGTATCCCTGTGAGGTCGAGGGAAGTCTTTTGATGAAGTCAAGACTAACGACCTGCCATGGCTGCTCCGGTACGGGTAGAGGCTGAAGTAATCGTGTTTTTTTCTGCTTGCTACTCTTCATCCGCTGGCATGTGTCACAGGAGGTGACAAACGACTGCAAGTCTGCTGCCATCCGAGGCCAGTAGTAATACTTTGCTATTCCCGTTAACGTCTTGTTGCTCCCGAAATGTCCCGCGTATGGTACGTCATGAAACTCCTCCAATAGGATCTGCCGTAGCGGGGCGTAATTCGGTACCCAAATCTTTCCTGAACCCTTCCTTACCGCTTTGTCTTGCTCCCACTATAACAGCTTCTGTTTCTCTGCCGTTGATTTCTCGCCGTCCACGGAGTATCCATGTTGGAATAGACCCTTGAGCAGAGGGTTCATCCCATCGAGCTGGATGCCTGCTACATGACCGGAGTGGCACAATGCGTCAGCCTTGTTGTGTAGCCCGGGCTTGTAGACGATGTCGTAATGGAAGTGGGTCTCCAAGAAATCCACCCACCGCACCTGTCGTCGTGAGAGCGTCGGCTGCGACTTCAGGTATTTAAGGCTGCAGTGGTCAGTATAGACTACGGTCTTGGCTCCCTCAAGGTAACACCTCCACGCCTTATAGGCCACGACAATGGCTAAGGCTTCCTAGTCGTGAATGAGGTAGTTTAGTTCCGCTCCGTGTAGCTTCTTAATGTGGTAGGCGATAGGCTGTAAACTGTTCCCGTGATCCTGCATCAGTACTACATCGACTGCCTGGTCACTAGCGTCTGCTTCAACTACGTAGTCCTTGTCTGGGTCCGGTAGGATGAGTACTGGCGCTGTGGTCAGTGCTGTCTGTAGCTGTTCCATGGCTTGCTGATGAGGAGCACCCCATTTGAAGGGCGTGTCCTTTTTCAGTAGGTCTGTCAGTGGCGCTGCTATCTTAGCGTACTACGGCACAAACCTGTTGTAGTAGTTGGCGAAGCCGAGGAACTGCTGCAACTCCTTCACGTTCTCCGGAACCTTCCACTTTTTAACGGCTTCGATCTTCCGCGGGTCCACGTGTACGCCCTCGGCACTCACCATGTGCCTGAGAAACTGCACCTTCTTCAGTGCGAAGTCGCTCTTTGACAGCTTCACGTAGAACTTATTTTTTCGGCAGGATCTCGAACACCTTCCGCAGATGCTCCACGTGCTCCTTCATGTTCTTGGAGTAGATGAGGATGTCATCCAGGTACACTACTACGCATTCGTCCAGCAGGGGCCGTAGGATGTGGTATATTTCCGGCTGAAACGTCGCTGGTGCGTTGCAGATTCCGAACGGCATCACCAAGTATTCGTAGGAGCCGTATCTCGTACGGAACGCCGTTTTGTGGATCGAGTTGTCCGCCATCTTGATCTGCCAGTAACCCGACCGTAAATCTAGCTTCGAGAAAACTGTTGCACCACGCAGTTGGTCCAGTAAGTCGTCGATGCGCGGTATGGGGTATTTGTTTTTGACTGTCTGTTTGTTCAGTGCGCGGTAGTCGATGCACATCCGTAAACTGCCGTCTGGTTTTGGTGTGAAGAGAACTGGTGCGCCGTAGGGAGAGGTGGATGGTCGGATCAGTTGTCTGTCTAGTAGATACTCGATCTTGATCTGTTTTCTCATGTCTGTCAGCTCGGTCGGACTCAGTCTGTAAGGTGCACGTGAGACGGGTTTCACACCTGGTTCCTCCACGATCTCGTGCTCGTGGGTGCGTGCTGGAGGTACGCCTGCAGGTAGGTCGTCGGGCATGATGTCTTTGTGTTAAACTGTATTATGCTTGTAGGCTGTAGTGGGGTAGCCAATATGGGGTACAACCCCAACTAGGGTTTCATATTTGTACCCAAACTTCTGCTAGTTCATTCATCCTTGCCTAGTTACTTTGAGATGGTATTCAGAGCAGGAGGTCCCTAGGACCTATCGACCGTTTCTTTTAAGGGCCCACCACCGCTCGCATGCGGTTACCACGCTACCCCGTGCCCTAGCCTCGTAGCGCCCTCGTGCGCCCTCGTTAGCGCCCTCGCGCGCCCCTCGTTAGCGCCCTCGCGCGCCCCTCGTTAGCGCCCTCGCGCACCCTCGTTAGCGCCCTCACGCGCCCCTCGTTAGCGCCCTCGCGCGCCCCTCGCAGAGTCGCCCGCCCGCCGCGCTGCCTGCTCGCAGCGTCGCCCGCTCGCCCCGCTGCCCGCTTCGCAGCCCGCTCGCCCCGCTGCCCGCTTCGCGGCCCGCCCGCCCGCTCGCTGCTCGCTTCGCGGCCCGCCCGCTTCGCAGCCCGCTCGCCCCGCTGCCCGCTTCGCGGCCCGCCCGCCCGCTCGCTGCCCGCTTCGCGGCCCGCCCGCTTCGCTGCCCGCTCGCAGCGCCGCCCGCCCGCCCGCTACCTGCTTCGCAGCGTCGCCCGCCCGCCGCGCTGCCCGCTTGCAGCGCCGCCCGCTCGCTCGCTGCCCGCTCGCAGCGTCGCCCGCCCGCCCGCTGCCCGCTCGCAACGTCGCCCTCCCGCCTCGCTGCCCGCTTGCAGCGTCGCCCGCCCGCCCGCTGCCCGCTTCGCAGCCGCCCGCCGCGCTGCCCGCTCGCCGCGTCGCCCGCCCGTCCCGCTGCCCGCTTCGCAGCCCGCCCGCCACAATTCCCACCTGCAGCGCCACCCGCCTCGCCTGCTGCTCCCTGACTGTGCACCGCCGCTTGCTCCTGCTGTGGCTGCTAGCTTCGCTCTAGCGCGTCCCCTCTGCTGCTGCCGCTGCTCTGCTGTGCCCTCACGCCTGAGCTATGGCCTCTATTCGCGTTCTTTCCTTCGATGCTGAGGGCCGTCCCGTGCAGTTCACTTCCTGGCTCGATGACCTGCAGTTGTATCTTATGAGCAATAGCACGGACCACATCTCCCTCTATGACTACGCGTCTGGTGCTGCCGCTGCTCCTGCTGCCACAGCCGAGCTTAGTGTACGTTCACAGTGGCAGACTCGTGACGCTGCAGCTCGCCTGGCTATTCGCAGTCACCTGCCGTTAGCTGAGCTAGAGCACTTTGGCGACTGCAAAACCGCTAAGGCCCTATATGACGCTGTCGTTGCTCGCTACTCCTCACCTGCCACAGCCGAGCTTAGCCGTCTCATGCTGCCTTACCTGTTCCCTGACCTGTCCACCTTTGCTACAGTCGCCGATCTTATCACCCACCTTCGCACTAGTGATGCTCGCCTGCGTGCCGCCCTTCCCACCGAGTTCTGCGCTAAGAACCCCCCTCCCCTGTACTGGACACTCCACTTCATAGTCACCCGTCTCCCTGACACCCTCAGCTCAGTGCGCGACTATTTCCTTGCTCGCTGTCCCACTGAGCTCACTGTCGCCCTCCTAGAGGAGAAGCTGCTAGCAGCCGAGAAGAGCATTGTGGCTGTTGGTGCTGCTCGCGGCGCTCCTCGCACCCCCATCTTTGAGGGGTGCTCTCCCTCTCCCCTCGCTCCCTCCTATGCTACTGCTGCTGCTGTTGACTTCCTTGGTGCTGAGTCTGCTGGCGCTGCTTCTGCTCCTGGTGGGAGGCGCCGCACCGGCAAGGGCAAGGGGGGCAAGGGTGGCGGGGGTGGCGCTGGGGGGGGAGGGGGTGGGGGAGGTGGGGGGGGAGGCGGTGCTGGAGGGAGCGGTGGCGGGAGTGCCGGTGGGAGTGGGGCCGGCGGCGGAGGCGGGGGCGGCGGCGGGAGCAGTGGCGGTGGTGGCAGCGGCGGCGGTGGCGGCGGTGGCGGTAGTGGCGGTGGCGGTGGCGGTGGTGGCGGTCGGAGCGGAGGTAGTGGCGGCGGTGGAGGTCGGAGTGGAGGCACCGGCTCGGGCCAGAGCTCCCAGCAGCAGCAGCGTCCCCAGTCGACCCAGCAGCTTCGTGAGTGGCTTGCTCAGCGTGGGACGTCGGGGGGCAGTGGCCGCTGTTCCTATGTCATTCGCACAGGTGATCGCAAGGGGCAGACGTGTGGAAAGTTCCACACTCAGTACCGCTGCTTCTTCCGCCTTGACGACGCTTGGCGTGAGGAGATGGGCGAGGATGTTGAGCGCCCTCGCTGGGCTGAGCTGATGAGGGCTGGTGTTGATATCTTTGCTCTTGACTATGATGCTATTATTGCTGCCATGTATGCATTGACTGTTAGTGCCGAGGGAGACTGTTACTTGTGTGTGCCGCCTGACCCAGGTATAGAGCCCGCTGCCCTAGGTGCTAGTGAGTCTGCTCTCTCTGGTATGGTGCCCCCTGTACCTGCTCCCTCCAGTGCTGTCCCGGCTGTTTGCGAGTCTGCTCTCTCAGGTACAGCACCCACAGAGACTGCTCTCTCAGGTACCGCACCGGCTGAGGCCTGTCACACCTTCACCCTTGACTCAGGTGCTTCCCGCTGTTTCTTTCGTGACAGTACTGAGCTCACACCGCTTCCTGCACCGGTCCCAGTCTCCTTGGCTGACCCCTCTAGGGGCCCAGTCCTTGCACAGTCCACCACTGTGCTCCCTTGTCCGGCGGTTCCGTCTGGCTCGTTGACGGGTTTCCACCTCCCCTCGTTCTCGACGAACCTGGTGAGCAACGCTGTCATCCAGGATCAGTGGGTTGACACCTTTACCCCTGGAGGACAGCGTGTGGCGATCTGCACGTGCTCCAGGACCGGCCGTCACCTGGCTACGTTTACCCGTCGGCCGGGGTCGAGTCTCTACACACTGACCACTGCGTCTCCTCAGGTCGCTGCTGTCGGTCAGGTGTCTGCGTCAGGTCTGGTGGCCCACGCCTGTGAGTGTCGTTCCCTGTCGCACCAGACTCTTCTCTGGCACCACCGCCTGGGTCACCCCTCCTTGCCACGCCTTCGTGGCATGCACCGTCGCCACCTTGTGTCTGGTCTTCCCAGGTCCCTCCCTCCCCTCCCTGCCTCGCCTGCGCCGCCTTGCCTTCCTTGTGTCGAGGGGCGGCAGCGCGTCGCTCCTCACTCCTCCTCGTTCCCCCCGACAGAGGCTCCTCTGCAGACCCTCCACCTGGACGTGTGGGGCCCAGCCCGCGTTCGTGGTCAGGGCGGTGAGCGGTATTTTTTGCTGGTTGTCGACGACTACTCGCGTTACACCACGGTCTTCCCCTTGCGCACCAAGGGTGAGGTCCCTGCTGTTCTGATCCCTTGGATCCGCACAGTTCGTCTCCAGCTCCGCCGCCGTTTCCGGACGGATCTTCCTGTCCTGCGTCTGCACTCTGACAGAGGTGGTGAGTTCTCCTCCGATCTCTTGAGGACCTTCTGTCAGGCGGAGGGCATCGAGCAGACCTTCACGCTTCCGGACTCCCCACAGCAGAATGGGGTTGCTGAGCGCCGCATTGGCCTGGTCATGGAGGTCGCTCGTACCTCCTTGGTCCACGCGGCGGCTCCCCATTTTCTGTGGCCGTTTGCTGTCCGGTACGCCGCGCATCAGCTCAACCTCTGGCCCCGTGTCTCCTTGCCGGAGACCTCGCCCACACTGCGTTGGACGGGGGAGGTTGGCGATGCGTCGCGCTTCCGGGTGTGGGGTGCTCGTGCCCTTGTCCGCGATACGTCCGCGGACAAGCTCTCCTCCCGCACGCTTCCCTGTGTCTTCCTTGGCTTTGTCCCTGACGCGCCTGGCTGGCAGTTTTACCACCCCACCTCGCGCCGGGTCTTCGCCTCTCAGGATGTCACCTTTGACGAGTCGGTCCCTTTTTACCGTCTCTTCCCCTACCGCACTGCCCCCCTCCCTCCCCCGCCGCTTTTCCTTGCTCCTGGTCCCCCTCCGGTAGACCCCCTTCCCCCTCAGGGTCCTGCTCCTTCAGGTGTCTCTCAGGTAGACCCTCCTCCCGTCGCTGAGCCTGTCGAGGTCACAGGTGACTCAGGTGCTGCTGCGGGTGGTGCTGCTGGGAGTGCTGAGCCTGGGGGTGCTGAGCCTGGGGGTGCTGGGCCTGGGGGTGCTGGGGCTGCAGGTGCTGGGACTGAGGGTGCTGGAGTTGAGGGTACGGTGCCTGAGAGTATGGAGCCTGGGGGTGCTGCGCCTGGGGGTGCTGAGTCTGCGGGTGCGGGGCCTGGGAGTGCTGGGACTGCGGGTACTGGAGCTGAGGGTACTGTGCCTGAGAGTTTGCCGCCTGGGGGTGCTGCGACTGGGGGTGCTGAGCCTGCGGGTACTGAGCCTGCGGGTACTGAGCCTGGGGGTGCTGCTACTGAGCCTACGGAGCCTCGGGTTACTGCGTCTGGGGGTGCTCCGGTTCGGGGTGCTGAGCAGTCTCTCACACCGCAGCAGCTTCGCGACTGGTACGTCCGACGCTTTCGCCGTCCTAGTGGCTCGGCTGGAGTTTGGGGTGCTGGAGCTGCTCGTCCTGGGGGTGCTCGTACTGGGGGTACTGGAGCTGCCGGGACTGGCTGTTCTGGGAGCACTGTGACTGGAGCTGCTGGAGCTGGGGACTCTGGCGCTGGCGGTGCTAGCGGAGTTGGAGCTGCCGACTCTGGGGGTGGCGCTGCTGCTGGTGCTGCGGACCCACCTGGTGGAGCTGCTGCTGGTGCTGAGGACCCGAGCGGTGGCGCTGCTGCTGGTGCTGGGGACCCGGACGTTGGAGCTCCTGCTGGTACTGAGGACCCGGCCGCTGGAGTCTCTTCTGCTTCTGGAGACGCTGCGCGGCCGCGACCGTACTTCGTACCGCTCCTTCAGCAGGTTCTTGGGCAGGCTCCTCCTCCTTGTCCTCCTCCCTCCGTCGAGTGTCCTCCGCCTGTCCAGCCGCAGTCACAGTTACCGCCTGCCTCGCCGCTCCCTGGTCCCTCTCCTTACACTGGTCCCACAGGAGGTCTTGCAGAGCGTCGTGAGCCTGAGTCTCGTCCTGCGTCGCCTGTCCGTACTGCTCGCACTGGTCGTCGTGTCCGTCGTGAGCGTCCTCCTCCTGTCCCAGGCACTCACTACATGACTCTGCGTCCCTCTACTGCTCCTCAGCGTGTCCCTCTGCCGTCTCCTCCTGCGTCCTCTTTGCCTGCTGTTCCGGACCCTGAGTCTGACCGGTATCGTGCTGAGCACCCTACTGTCACGCGTCTCCTAGCTACTGTTGTCACTGACCCTACCTTTGAGTCCTCGGCTGCATCTGCTCTGGTCGCTGAGTTGGTTGACTTTGCTGCTGCCTGTCGTCTAGACTACGCTGCTCGCCTTGTTGCTGGGTCTGAGTCTGCGTCTGTCTGTCCTCCGTCCGTCGGGGGTGAGTGTGCTCTTGGCACGGACGTCCTTGAGGACAGGCAGGAGGACTTTGACTCTCTCGCGGCTGCTGTACCTCATCTCGTGGCCTCGTTGCTTGCCCCTGAGGGAGACCCGGATGCACTAGACATCCCCACTCCGCGCACTTACGCAGAGGCGATCTCGGGTCCCTACTCCTCTCAGTGGCAGACAGCCATGGACGCAGAGATGGCATCCTGGAAGTCCACAGGCACCTACGTCGACGAGGTTCCCCCTCCTGGGGCGAACATCGTCGATGGCATGTGGATTTTCAGGGTGAAGCGGCCGCCAGGTTCTCCGCCTGTCTTCAAGGCTCGTTACGTTGCTAGAGGTTTCAGTCAGCGTCAGGGGGTCGACTTCTTCCAGACCTTCTCCCCCACCCCGAAGATGACCACTCTTCGGGTTTTGCTGCACGTTGCTGCTCAGCGTGACTACGAGCTTCACTCTCTTGACTTCAGCACAGCGTTCCTGCAGGGCAGCCTGCACGAGGAGATCTGGCTGCGCCACCCACCTGGCTTTACTGGGTCGTTTCCTCCTGGTACCCAGTGGAGCCTCCGCCGGCCAGTCTACGGTCTCCGCCAGGCGCCACGCGAGTGGCACGACACACTGAGGACTACACTTGCGGCTCTTGGGTTCGCGCCGTCTACTGCTGACCCGTCGCTGTTTCTGCGCACAGACACGTCGCTGCCGCCGTTCTACATTCTCGTGTACGTCGACGACTTGGTCTTTGCTACTGCTGACACTGAGGCACTCGCTCGTGTGAAGTCGGAGCTGCAGAAGAGACACACCTGCACTGACCTGGGTGAGCTGCGTAGCTACCTTGGCTTGCAGATCACCCGGGACAGAGCTCGCCGCACCATCACCCTGACTCAGTCACACATGGTGCAGCAGGTCCTTCAGCGCTTCGGCTTCCAGTTCTCCTCACCACAGGCCACACCTCTGGCTACCAGCCACTCGCTCTCAGCTCCACCTCCGGACGAGTCCGTAGAGCCGAGTGGCCCGTACCCAGAGCTTGTGGGCTGCCTCATGTACCTGATGACTTGCACGCGACCTGACCTCGCGTACCCTCTTAGTATCCTTGCTCGTTACGTTGCGCCTGGGAGACACAGGCGAGAGCACTGGGAGGCTGCTAAGAGGGTGCTGCGTTACTTGTGCAGTACATCAGGCATGGGGCTGGTGCTTGGAGGACGCGACAGAGTTGTCCTCACTGGCCACTCGGACGCTTCTTGGGTGGACGACCTGGCTACGCAGCGGTCGTCACAGGGTTACACCTTCAGCCTTGGTTCTGGTTCTGTCTCGTGGCGGTCCACCCGCTCTTCCTCTGTTCTCGGCTCTAGTTGTGAGGCTGAGATCTACGCCACAGCCATGGCTGCACAGGAGTTACGCTGGCTCACCTACCTGCTGACTGACTTGGGAGAGCGGCCTAGTTCTCCTCCAGTTCTGTACGGTGACAACAAGGCGGCTCTTGCCTTGTGTCAGGAGCACAGACTGGAGCACAGGACGAAGCACATTGCTCTTCGCTACTTTCTTGCTCGAGAGCTTCAGCAGCGCGGTCAGCTTCGGCTTGTGTACGTGGACTCGAAGGCCAACACTGCTGATATCTTCACCAAGGCGCTCCCGCCTAGTGATCATCAGCGGCACTGTACTTCTTTAGGTCTTGTGTCCACGTTTCCTCACTTGCTCACTGCTTGACATTCTTTGTACTGTACTTTATATATATCTTGTTACTTGCTTGCTAGGTTTTGATCACTGTGTTGTTTGTCTTGTACTATATCTAGCACTGCATGTGAACTGGCCTTGTGGCCTTTACTTGTGCTCGGAGCGTGGTGACGTTGTGATCCACCCTGGGCTTTGCTTTGCTTTGCTGGACTGGTCTTGTGACCCTTTGTTCTCCCCCACTTTGCCTATGGGGGTGTGTTAAACTGTATTATGCTTGTAGGCTGTAGTGGGGTAGCCAATATGGGGTACAACCCCAACTAGGGTTTCATATTTGTACCCAAACTTCTGCTAGTTCATTCATCCTTGCCTAGTTACTTTGAGACTTTGTACTGCTCCAAGGCCTCCTTCACTGCTGCAGGTAGCTTGGAACCCGGCTTCTCTCTTCTGCTGCTGCCATGACCAGTGCTAAGTAACCCGTGTTACTCTCGTTCACCGTCTGTTCGAACCGTGCCAGTGTCGTTCCAAGAATGTCCCCTATATCCGTCCAGCTTCGCAGTGCTATCCGCTTCCCGTTGTTGTAGATGCACACCTTGCTGTTGACCCAATCGATCTCGGGGTTGAACCGCTTCAGGAAATCTCGCCCCAAGATAAAATCTAACCCTTTGATGTTGGTGACTGGTAGCTTCGGCTTCCACCTCAACGCACCTATATGCAGCAACAGTGATGCTTCGGTGTTGATGGGAAGCTTCGTACCGTCCACCATGTGTTAAACTGTATTATGCTTGTAGGCTGTAGTGGGGTAGCCAATATGGGGTACAACCCCAACTAGGGTTTCATATTTGTACCCAAACTTCTGCTAGTTCATCATTCTTGCCTAGTGATTCTGATATGGTATTCAGAGCAGGAGGTCCCTAGGACCTACCGACCGTTTTTTTTTTTTTAAGGGCCCACCACCGCTCGCTGCGGTTACCACGCTACCCCGTGCCCTAGCCTCGTAGCGCCCTCGTGCGCCCTCGTTAGCGCCCTCGCGCGCCCCTCGTTAGCGCCCTCGCGCGCACCCTCGTTAGCGCCCTCGCGCGCCCCTTCGTTAGCGCCCTCGCGCGCCCCTTGCTAGCGCCCTCGCGCGCCCCTTCACTAGCGCCCTCGCGCGCCCCTCGCCGAGCCGCCCGCTCGCAGCCCGCCCGCCCGCTCGCTGCCCGCTTCGCGGCCCGCTCGCTACGCAGCCCGCCCGCCCGCTCGCTGCCCGCTTCGCGGCCCGCCCGCTTCGCAGCCCGCTCGCTCGCTGCCCGCTTCGCGGCCCGCCCGCTTCGCAGCCCGCTCGCTCGCTGCCCGCTTCGCGGCCCGCCCACTTCGCAGCCCGCCCGCCCGCTCGCTGCCCGCTTCGCGGCCCGCCCGCTTCGCAGCCCGCTCGCCCCGCTGCCCGCTTCGCGGCCCGCCCACTTCGCAGCCCGCCCGCCCGCTAGCTGCCCACTTCGCGGCCCGCCCGCATCGCAGCCCGCTCGCCCCGCTGCCCGCTTCGCAGCCCGCCCGCCCGCCCGCTGCCCGCTTCGCGGCCCGCCCGCCTCGCAGCGTCGCCCGCCCGCCGTGCTGCCCGCTTGCAGCGCCGCCTGCCCGCCGCGCTGCCCGCTTCCCGGCCCGTCCGCCGTGCTGCCCGCTCGCAGCGTCGCCCTCCCGTCGCGCTGACCGCTTGCAGCGCCGCCTGCCCGTAGCGCCAGCCTCGCCCGCTGCTCTCTATCCGTGCACAGTCGCCTTCCCCTGCTGCGGCAGCTTGCGTTACTCTGTCACACTGTCGCTATGGCTTCCATCCGCGTGCTGTCGTTCGATGCTGAGGGCCGCCCTGTGCGGTTCACCGCTTGGCTAGATGACCTGCAGCTGTTCCTCCTGAGCGATAGCAAGGAGCATGTGTCGCTCTATGATTACGCGTCTGGTGCTGCGCCTGCCCCTCCTGCCACAGCTGAGCTTAGTGTTCGTTCCCACTGGCAGACTCGTGACGCAGCTGCTCGCCTAGCCATTCGCAGTCACCTGCCGTTAGCTGAGCTAGAGCATTTTGGCGACTGCAAATCCGCTAAGGCCCTGTACGACGCTGTCGTCGCTCGCTACTCCTCGCCTCTGCGCCTGCCACAGCCGAGCTTAGCCGCCTCATGCTGCCGTACCTGTTCCCCGATCTGTCCACCTTTACTACAGTCGCCGATCTTATCACCCACCTTCGCACTAGTGATGCTCGCCTGCGTGCCGCCCTTCCCACCGAGTTCTGCGCTAAGAACCCCCCTCCACTGTACTGGACACTCCACTTCATAGTCACCCGTCTCCCTGACACCCTCCGCTCAGTTCGAGACCACTTCCTTGCTCGCTGTCCCACTGAGCTCACAGTCGCCCTCCTAGAGGAGCACCTGCTCGCGGCCGAAAAGAGCATTGTAGCTGTCGGTGCTGCTCGTGGCGCTCCTCGCACCCCCATCTTTGAGGGGTGTTCTCCCTCTCCCCTCGCTCCCTCCTACGCTACCTACGCGTGCTGCTGCTGCTGTTGACTTCCTTGGTGCTGAGTCTGTTGGCGCTGCTTCTACTCCTGGTGGAAGCGCCGCACCGGCAAGGGCAAGGGGGGCAAAAGTGGTGGTGGTGGCACTGGGGGGGGAGGAGGTGGGGGAGGTGGGGGGGGAGGCGGTGCTGGAGGGAGCGGGGCGGTGGCGGAGCGCGGTGGGAGTGGGGTCGGTGGTGGAGACGGGGGCGGCGGAGGAAGCAGTGGCAGTAGTGGCGGCGGCGGCGGTGGCGGCGGTGGCGGTGGTGGCGGTGGTGGCGGTGCCGGTCGGAGCGGTGGTAGTGGTGGCGGCGGAGGTCGGAGTGGAGGCACTGGCTCGGGCCAGAGCTCCCAGCAGCAGCAGCGTCCCCAGACGACCCAGCAGCTTCGTGAGTGGCTTGCTCAGCGTAGGACGTCGGGGGCCAGTGACCGCTGTCTTATGTCATTCGCACAGGTGACCGCAAGGGACAGACGTGTGGGAGGTTCCACACCCCGTACCGCTGCTTCCTTTTCTCCCGCCTTGACGACGCTTGGCGTGAGGAGATGGGTGCGGATGTTGAGCGCCCCCGCTGGGCTGAGCTCATGAGGGCTGGTGTTGATGTCTTTGCTCTTGACTATGATGCTATTATTGCTGCCATGTATGCATTGACTGTTAGTGCCGAGGGAGACTGTTACTTGTGTGTGCCGCCTGACCAGGCTAGAGCCCGCTGCCTGGGTACTAGTGAGTCTGCTCTCTCTGGTATGGTGCCCCCGGTACTTGCTCCCCCCAGGGCTGTCCCGGCTGGTTTCGAGTCTGCTCTCTCAGGTACAGCACCCACAGAGACACCTCTCTCAGGTAC